ATTCAAGTGCCATGCACCACAACAGTACAACCCTTATTAGCGCTTATCTCAAGTTTATCTTCAGTATATTTTGTTGTTCCTACCATCGTAGTTGTAGTATAATGAGTGAATGCAATGAAATCCATAGCACTATTGACATTAGGTGATGCCTTTTATTGTTTCATCCACATACTTTCTTGTACAAAAGTATGAAACCTACCCATCAATTGAGACACAATTCAAACTAGAATTATTAAAACCATTTGTATCAAACTATCAATTAATTAACCTCACATCATAATTGACAAAACTAAAAAACAATAGTGGTACCAACCTAAAAAAACTGCACCCAATCCTTGTCAAGCAAAACGACATTGTCATTTCCAGCCTCGTCATCCTGTGCACCCATGGCGTTACAATCCTTGGGCATTAGAGACAACTGCTAGAGACAATCCCTTCATCAAAATAAATCAACTCAGAGCTTGGCGCATCCACTTTGACGCATAAGAAAAGCTCCTCCGTAGAAACCCTAAATAGATCATCAATTTTCCCGTGCCTCACATTGCCGGAGTTGCTGCTTTCTTATCTCAAGTGCATCTCGAAATTTGCCGCATGACGAAGGACGTTGCAAATGGAGCCGAAATCGCCGAAGGTTAGGCCAATGTAGTTGGCAATTTGGTCTAAAAAGATACATTAATCACCCCATCCGGATAAAAAGATGACGTGGCCGGATTAAGTAATGACGTGACATATAAACGTTCTTTAATCTCCTATGTCTTATATAAGAGGCGCAATGTGGCACTACACCTAGATAAAAAAAAATTAAAAAAATAAAAAATCTAAAAATAAAAACTAATATACAATAAATATAAATATATTTCGTTTGTATATATAAAAACTAAAAAATAAATAAAAAATAAGAAAATAATATTTTGTTAAATATTACTATATTTCGTTAAATATATATTTTAAAAAAAATCTTTATATTTCGTTATGATATATTAGAAAATTATTATAAAAATATTTCGTTAATATTTTGTTGAATATAAAAAACAAAACTAAAAAAAAATAGAAAAAAGTATAAAATAATATATAGTAAACAAAAATATATTTCGTTTATATATGTTTAAAAAATAAAAAATTACAAAAAATTAATAAATAAAAGATAATATTTTCGTTAAATATATATTTAAAAATAAAATAAATCTTTATATTTTGTTAATATATATTAAAAAACTTATTAAAAAAATCTTCATTAATATTTTGCTAAATATAAATATTTTTCAGTAATATATATAAAAAAGACTGAAAAAATAAAAAATAAAAATATTTTGTTAATAATAATAATGATATATAATTTAGTATATTATCTAATATGATACTTTACATAATATTTATTTGTATAATATAAATATATTAAATATAAATAAAAATCACAAAATGTATATTTATATTTAAAAATTGTATTTTAATTGATTTAATAAATATATATATTTAAAAATATATATTATATTAAAAGCATATAATACCAAAAAAAAAATATATAATATAAAAATATATTAAATATAAATGTATTTTATTAACATTCGACAAATATACTAAAAACATAAAAAATAAAAAAATATTTCGTTAAATATAAATAAAAAATATTTAATATATTTTTTTTTTATTTTTTTTAGTATTTTTTAATATATATATATATACACACAATATATTTAATATTTAACAAATATTTTTTTTATTTTTTAATAATTTTTTAATATATATTAACGAAATATAAATATTTTTTCTTATTTTAATATATATTTAACGAAATATATTTATTTTTAAAATAATATTATTTTTATTTTTTGTAATTTTTTAAATATTTTATTTATTTATTTATTTTCTTATTTTTTACTAGATATAAACAAAATAAATTTATATTTAATATATATTATTTGTTATTTTTAATTTTTTTTTATCTAGGTGTGTACTTGGAAATAAGAATGCTACATCACGCCGCGTATATAACATATTGAAAATTAAGAAAAGTTTTAAATGCCACCCACGTCATGTTTTTATACGGGTGAGGGATTATTTTATTTTTTTACGCTCAAATTGTCAACTACATGTTTCTTTTTTCATAAAAGACAACAAAATATCTTTTTTCTTGACAACGCTCAATTTAGTGTATCATTTTTTTTTTTTTTTTAATTTTGGAGAAATTCGACATGGGAACTCTGTTTGCAATCACGAGAATGAGACAAAAGAAATTAATGAAGCAAATCGAGATTTACACGTTTTCCATAAAATCTGCTCATTTATTATTACATTACAGGATGTAAATATTTATTTAAAAAAATGTATTAAAAACCAACCTATTTATTTAATACTCCCTCCTATTCAAAATAAATGTCGTTTTGATAAGTTGCACAACAATTAAGAATATTTTTGTTGTCAATAATAACCCTATTTAATGAAGATAGAGATGAATGTTTTGAGAAAAAATGAAGAGGGAATATGGAAAGACGTAGTGTATTTATTGACTAAATGAGGGTAATAATGGAAAAAATATGTACAAAAGATCTAAAACGACATTTATTTGGTTAATAGTTGATAAAGCCAAAATGAAATTTAAAAAGAATAGGAGGTAGTAACTTACTATATATTCATATTCTTAATTTCTTATAGATTGAATGTTTTTACTTTTAGAAAAAGTTTTATATGTAAAATAACCCGAGTAAAATTTCTCTACAATAATCATTAGTGTTTAGTTGAATACCAAATACCAATAAACAAATATCTAGGCCTAGTTTTGTAAACAAACAGAATCGAGCTTGAGTTGTTCGAGCTCGTATTCGTTTATGTTCGACCAATGTTAGTGTTCGTTCGTTTTTTTTTCGAACAAAAAATTGTGTTCGAGCTTGTTCATCTAATTGTTCATCAAGGTTCGAATTCGTTCGTGTTCGAATAATTTAATGCATAAACTTTTTAAATAAGTTTGATTAACTCGAAATTTGTTTGTTCCGAACTTGGAAATAAAAGAATAAAACAAAAATATTTTTATATTTTGATTATTTAACTATGTAAATATATAAAAATATAAAATTATAGTAAAATTTATATCTTTTTATTAGAATATTATGTAAATATATAAAAAATAAACTAATATTATATTAAATTAATGTTCCCGAACTTAATCGAACGTTCACAAACGAGCTCGTGTTCGTTCGACTATCAAAAGAGGCTAATTTTCTGTTCGAACTCGACTTGATTAACAAACGAACAAACTCTTGTCGAACATAAACGAACTTTTGTTTGCGAACGTGTGTCGTAGACCCTCCCTTTATTTTTCTTATGAAGTTGCCCACATTCGAGTAGGCCCCATAGTTCACTATCAAAGCTAAATTTTTTTGCCAAGACAAAATCCAAAAGAGGAAAGAGGAAAAGAATATGCCTTACTCTTCCCTGCAAGCATGCTTTCTTCAACAAATATCACACGATAAAACAAAAACCAAAAGAATAACTATTATATTGTCGGTTTAACAGTTGGCTCCATAGCAAAACCGATTATTTGTTCCCTAGCAAAATCGATTATATTATATTGGTAGTTAACGTGATTAAATTAATGTTACTCAGTCCATCGTTATCCCTTTACGTCCTTTCCATGTCACTCTTTTGAAAACTTTCACTGGCTTTTTTTCTATTTTGTTCACCCATTCTTTTCCTTATTTTGCAATTTGCCCCCTTCTGACAAGTTCTTTTCAAGGGCTTCAGATTAATATTCAAGACGAAGAGCATGGAGTTTCTGCAAGATTTACCAACTTTTACTGCCTTTCTTGCTATTATCCTAACATTTATCCTCGCAAAAATTGTTTCTTTTGCTGTTTCTTGCTCTGATATTGATGAAGACGAGGTTTCTTGTTCGGACAACGAAGGCCCAGTTGCGAAAGACTCGACTTTGGCTAAAGGGTCGAGAGTTAGAACTGCGAAAGGCAAAACGAAGGTGAAATTTCTTGACGATGTCTTTGTAAGGAGACTTGATCGTTATGAGGGTTTTGAAAATCTTCAATTGTTGGATATAAATGTTGAGCGATTCGGAGAAAACGATGTAAATCAAGAATTAAGTGAGAAAGTGATCAATGAAAAAGTTGAATTGCAAATTGAGGATGAACTTGCAGGTGACAATGGGGATGGGGCTTTTAGTGAAAATCACAAGAGTTCAGGGATTAGTGTGCAAGAAGGTGAGCAAGAAGGGAAGGGATTAGTGGGATGTGATGAAAATGAGGAAAAAGCGATAGTCGAGAGTGTCGATGGTGATGTAGATGATGATTGGGAGGGAATAGAGAGAAGTGAGCTGGAGAAAGTGTTTGCGGAGGCCGTTAATTACTTGGAGTATGGAGGGAAAGGGAAGGATAAAGATTGTGAGGACAGCAAGTTGGCTAAATTGGGTAGTGATGTGCAAATGGAGTTGTACGGGCTTCATAAGGTGGCGGTTGAGGGGCCCTGCCACGAGCCTCAGCCGATGGCGTTCAAAGTGGCTGCTCGTGCCAAATGGTATTTTTCGTTTTTGCTTTTGCTTGTATTGGTGCACATATGTTGTGATTGAGTTTGGTATAGCCTATCTGTGTTTCCCTGTGTTCGGTTTTTTTCGTTTGGATTGGCTTTTCATTTATGTTATCTACTAAAAGCTCGAATCTTCGATATATAATTGAGGATTAGTTTGTGTAGGAGATAGAGTTGGGTTTACTAATTGAGAATTTTGGTGCATAAGGTGTTGAAGTTCTTATATATTTATAAAGCACCCTTATCGTACTTTTGGATTTTGATTATGCTAAGGAGAAACCGGAAGAAGCAACATTTTTGGGAATATCGAATACCGCATGTATTGTATTTTTCAAGCTACTAGTTGAGAATCATTTTCTTAAGACTTTAGCAATTGCAAGCACTCTTTATATTTTTTCTCGCCACTGTAAACTATAAGGCACTCTACATTATAGTCTCTAATTTTTGTATGATCATTGGCTCCCGGGTTTTCTTTTGCATTTGTAAATCATATTTATCCCCAATGAAAGAAATATGTGTTCTAAGCCCTGAAAGGATAAAACTTGAACCATAGGCCTTCCTTGGAAAGGCTGTCAGGGTATAGTTTGATTGCTAGTTATATAACAGGGTTGAAAAAAAGGTGCTATTTGTGAGTGACGGTGGGCCCATTAATTCCATTGTGTAAGGAATGCATGGCAAAAGCTCGGAAGCATGAGCCGGGACATGGCCATGGAGAAGTACATTAAACTCCTATCCGATAACATACCCGGTTGGGTACATGATTATTCCATGGTAAGCTTGTCTTTTCTCTTTCTTTATCTTGTTCGCTTTGTTTTCACAAATATACGAACTAATATTTATGATAACCATATGCAGGATTTTTCTAAGTTGGAAGCTATAGAAAAAACACCTGATCCAGAGCCAGAAAGGTATTTGATTGGTTTGATTGACATTATAATCTACACATTTCGAAACTATTTTCAGAAAATGATCTAAACCCCTTACTGCTCATGCGTTTCATTTGTCTGCAGGAAATCGGAAAGTTCTCTCCACAAGGTAAATTACAAGTTAGGCTGTTCCCACATTACATCAAAACATGTTTGAAATTTTTGAATAATTGTCTACATTAATGTTGAAGCTGCAACATTATCTTTCCCCATGCTTTTCGGCTTATGAGAATGGTGATATTTTTTTTTCAATGATTTACAGTTTGCAAAAAGACCGACGTGTGGAGTTTTGACAAATAACTACAACTGATGTTATATAAAATTATCATTTTGCAGATTCCACATGAATAGATAATTTTGGAACTGCAGAGGTCCTGTAATTTAATTAAACTATAGTTATATGAAATTTATCTTGAAATACAACATCACAGAATTGGACTAGATTGCATAAAATAAAATAAAAAAATAAAAAATTATTATTTCATCTCTTCTTTATTAATAATGCTCACATTGTTTATTATTGCAGGATGATAATAAGGTATAGCAGGACAAAAATGGTAATATCTTTGTGTCCCAGCTGCTTTATGAGGCAAAAGGGAGTCATGTAATTTTTCTCTCCATTTGAACTTTTATGTATTTTTTTCATATATTGTGCTTGTCATTGTTCCTACTAAGCCTATGTTTGGTAGACACATAAGCTATCTTGTAGCTTATTTGGTTAGCTTATAAGCTCACTGTATTAAAACGTTCCATTTGGTAAAACGAGCTTTTTTAAAAAGCTCGACTCGAGTTTATTTGGGCTATGTTTGGTAAAACTAGTTGATAAGCTAGCTTATAGCTTATCAGCAATTTTTTAGCTTATAACTTATAGCTTATAGCTTATGACTTATAGCTGATAAGGTAGCTTATATGCAGTAATGTTCACCTACCCACGGTGGGCACATGTTAATATGTCCACCGCTTATGTGGCATGTACACATTGGTGATGTAATTTTTTAACATATTAACATCACCAATCATTTCTTTTGATCAAAAGATCATGAAACTTACAGTGCCATTTCTCGCATTGACTCCATCGACAGAAAGAACTCCTTGAAAGTGTGCATGCCATATAAGCGGTGGACATATTAACATGTGCCCACCGCGGGTAGGGGAGCATTATCCAGTTTATATGATAAAAGTGTTTTGTAAAATTAGCTGATAAGCTAGCTGGAATAAAAAAAATCAACTAGCTTATTTGAAAAGCTACCTAAGGAAGCTTATCCAATAAGTTCGAGCTTTTTAAAAAAATCCGTCCTACCAAACGATCATTTGAATACAGGAAGTTTATAAGCCAACCAAATAAGCTATAAGATAGCTTATTTGTCTACTAAACATAGCATTGATAAGTTTCTTTGGGTAGTTTTTCAGATAAGTTCGTTGAGATTTTTATTTCAGCTAGCTTATCAGCTAATTTTACCGAACAATTTTGTCATATACGCTAGCTTTTCAGCTATAAGCTCGAAAAACACTGATAAGCCATAAGTTAGTTTATCAGCTATCAGCTAGTTTTACCAAATATAACCATAGTAAAATGAGTTTTTTTTTAAAGAGCTCTAGCTTGTTTGATAAATTTTTCTGGCTATCTTTCCAGATAAGTTCGTTAAATTTTGTATTTCAGCTAGTTTATTAGATAATTTTGTCAAATACTTTTATCATCTACGCTGGTTTTTCAGTTATAAGTCATAAGCTATAAGCTCGAAAATCACTGATAAGCTATAACCTAGCTCATCAGTCAGTTTTACCAAATATAGCCTACGTTGTTGATCTCGGTGCCATGGCAAGTCATTGGAAAATGAACTTTTTCTAAGTTATTTTAATGGCGGTAGATGATACTGTAAAAATTCTTTTTTTTTTTTTTTTTTTTTT